GTTGCGTCAAAACAGGAGGTGAAAAAAATCTCCTCAGTGGAACACAGATGGCAAAAAAATTAATTTTAATCATTCTCTATTCTGCCATAAATAAAGAAAATGCTTTGACTTTAGATACACTTTGAAGCCCAACTGAACTTTCAGTTTAATTCAGCTAAATCCATTTTCTCTGCAGAGGTCAGATGCACTCATGCTGAATCTGACCTATAACTCTGTTGTAAGTGATGTTGCTATCCTCTGCTGATTGGAAAATTCTAGATCTGACTCCGTAGGGGGGTGTCAGACATCTGCCGAGAGACCACTGCTTCTCCAAAGAGAGAAAGAGTCCTTCTCTATAGCATGCTGGCAGGGGATAGGCTTTTCTACTCAGGTTATGGCTGCTTTATAAAGAAAACCAACTATGTAAAACTCATTTAAAAAGCAATGGAATGGCTGCACTGCAGTCATACTGCTGCTTTAAAAAAAAAATGCATATTTATAAAAACACAGCGATGTAACAAGAAAAGTCTGGTCATGTGACCTCTCAAAGTCACATGACCTGCTCTCCTTCAAACACAGAGCTTTCTCTGCTGCATTGAGCAGAGAGAACTTCATTGGGCTATGCAGGCTACACACCACAGCTGGATTTTTAAGAATGAGATGGCCTGCAGTGTGCGTAATACAGTGATGCATAACGGAGAGTGGATTGTGATATCCACTCTCCATTATAAATGAGCCCCTTAGTGAATTATCTCCTAATCTCAGAGCTGTATTGTACTACACAGTTAGCACTCTGCCATGTACAAAAAGATCTAAAAACAATCTGTTTCCCCATCATTGCTGTTCTCTGACAGCTCCCTCTCTCCCTCCTAAACACAGTGGCAAGTTTGCACTCTTTTTGCCAACCACAATGTTCTGCCAGCCGGCCTGAACCTTTTTGTCCTCAAGGATTTCCTAGATCAGCAAAGAAGCAGCATTAATATTCTTTGTGACACATGGTATGTGGAGCTATAATTAGCAGTGCACATTATAGGGTTACTGAGCTAAGGAATTTATCATAATGCTGTTCTTGGAGAGGGAAGTCATGTTTTTACCAGGTAAAGCTAGAATGGAAATTCTTGCATAGCCAAGGGATTACATAACATTTCACAAGGTGATAGTCTCAAATAAACTAATGATTGGAAAATTATGAGAACTTGGTACAAGGTGAATTTTATATTCCAGCCTACCTACTGACAGGTATATCTCTTTGTGAATTGTTGCATTTTTAAACCACCAATTTATGTATTTGAGCATACCTCCTGAGACTAGTCTGTTCGGATAGTATGACATCGTACTGAGCTGATGATATCCACATGTAGGGTCCAACTCACCAAGAAGACATAGAGTAGAATCCAGTGTTGTTTATTCAGGCTTGACAATACAAAGGATTTGATTCCTTGTATAGAAAATAAGAAAATAACCCCCTTAGGGATGTACTCCTTGGGAATCAGTCAAACAAACTTAGTAGAAATGTATAACAGTTTATTAAATAACAATACAAACACATAAGGTAAAATGTTATGCATGTGTCCTGCTAATTTGTCTATACCTTATTGGACACAAATCAGTTACTGGAGGGTCTGGCCAGACCACATATGGAAAAGATCATACATGATGGAAAGATAAACCAAATGCAAATTGATATTCTAGCTATAGAAATAGGAATCTCATAGCACTAATAGTGACGTCACACTTAAAAAAAGCAAAGAAAAAAAAACTGATATAGAAAGAGTCTATATTCTGTGATGACCATACACTACAGATGGTAATGCCACATAGAAAGTATTCATATGAACAAGTCGGTATGGATGTATTCAAACAAACAAGATACCAGTTTTTTTGAGCCAGATATGAGATAGCCAGTTGCAATGAATCAATGCTGCAAGATGTTATACTTTGGAGTGTACTCAATGTGGCTGAACAGCAAAAAAACTATTTTCCAAGTTGGATCAGACTGAATGGTACATATAGCTCATAAGAAAGCTCAATGTGCATCATAAGCCAAACATGAGATAGCCAAGTGCCATAAGCCAACGCTGTAAAATATAATCCGTGTGGCTAAACAGCAAACAATCCAGGCTCCATGTTGGATCAAACTGTGTAGTTCATATAGCTCATAGGAAAGAATAATGTGCATCACAAACCAAACATGAGATAGCCAGGTGCAATGAGTCAATGCTGTAAGATGTAATCAGCATCACTGAACAGCAAACAATCAAGGCTCCACATTTCTATCTAGAAGCCTTGTAAAACCATGTATAGAAGCCTCTTGACACAGTGACTGAGAAAGTGAAAAGAAATTGCGGAGGAGAAGCTGGGAGTGTCTACTAGAAGATTGTATCAGTATACCAAAAACGGTAGGGGTGAAATGGTGGAAGACCCCAATGTATACAGAAAACAAGTGTAATAGTGCTAATCTACCACTAGTTGTCAGGAATATACCATAACATAATGATATGCAATGAGTGCATAGCAGTGTAAGAACAATAGCAAAAAAAACAGAGGTTGTGGCAGCACACTCCCCATCTGAAATATTTAGATTTCAATATACAGTATAAATATAAGACAAATGTTTGTGAAGGATGACTTGTCCTTGGACCTGTAAAATATAACAAAGGCAAAAACATGCAAACATACATAAATAGGTTGCTTGAGAGTTACTATTAACTCTGAAGCAACAAGAAAAAACAGTTAGCCGGCACCTACCGATCCCCGTAGGTGTCAGATAACTGGGAGTTTACTGTATTTATGTGTTCTGAAAACTAAAACTGAAGCAATTGTTTAAAACTGTATTTTCTCCCTCAGATAAATTCAAAATCCTGCCAAAAAATAACAACTTTTATAAGTCTAGTATATTATAAATACTATTATAAGTGTATGTATACCCAAAACTTTTGTTTTCGGTAGAGTAGGGAAGGGCTAAAACCCCTGTTGTTTGGGGCTTTTTCCTGGAGTCACAACAGGAATGTAGAGAAAATCTCTACAAAGTTGGACAGTTGTCATTGAAACAGGTGTCCCCACTGGGAAAGTTCCCCTTATCTCTTGTTCTGGTGACAACTGTAACATTTGGATTCCCCATCACTTTCTTACTCAATGACAATGAAAAAAAAGAAAGGTTTGACTATACATATACTTTAAATTCATGCTTTCATTGCTCATGAAATAATAGGGGAAAAATCAGTGATATTGCAGAACTCAACTAGTGATAAAATTGTGCCCAGGGTGAATTTGGTTTTCCATGTTGTAGCATTAGTCTGGACACTGACAAACTTGACCGCACATGCTACTTTTATATAAAAAAAATTGTACTTTACCAAACAAGTTCAATGCTGAATGTTCTAAGCAGGACACATACAGGAGGTATTTCCGTCCAATCTGATGAAGATAAAAAATGTACAACAAAAATGCAAAAGACCACTATTAAAAATGTTAAAGATTTACCCGTATGTGTACATTATTCTCATTATATGTACCAATGACTTATCTTATTTACACAGATGTCCCAGGAACTTCATAAGCTCCCCACTCTATGACTGTTCACATTGATAAGGTCCGTCGTTAACGAATAATGAGAAGAATTTTCTGTCCCGTTGGAAAATCATTTCATCTGATAGCTGCCAAACTATCAGTCATTCTGTGACTGTTTTTACACATTAAACGAAGGGAATAGAATGAAAATATACCGAATCTTCAACGAATTGGGCAAAATTGCACATGTATAAGGCTCCTTTCACATGGGCCTTCCAATCAGGTACGCCTGTCAGTTTTTTAGGTGGACCTAATTGGAAGCCCAATGTTAGTCTATGGGCAGCCAGGTCTAAACAGACTGGCGTCCATTTACATCCACTTACCCCCCCCTATCGCCGGACCTGATCGTGCCGGATCGGGGGTAATCTGATTTAAACGGACACACGTTTCCCATATACCAACATGGGCCCGGTAATTTAATTTTTTTCCTTTACAATGCAAGATGGAGGAAAAAACTGGATAGACATGGATGTCACGAAGGTGACACCCGTTCTGATCAGCAGGGTAGCCATGTATGGATCCCCTCCAGATCACAACTGAAGGGTGAAAGGGGCCTAAGGCATCACAGATTCCTGGTTCGACATTACTTCCCCTAATTTCTCGATTTGGGCTGTGCATGACGACCTTAATTTAGATTTTTAAGGTGTTCTTTTCAATCTATATCTATCCTGGAATATGTTTCAAGTCTTTTCTAAAGTTTATTCATTGTACAAAACATATATATATATATTTATTATTCTATAAAGAACAAACACATATATATCAATGCAGAGGTATTGAGTGAACTGCCGTCTGTACCTGGTTATTCATAAATCAGAGTTTTAAGAAGTTAAGCTTTCTCAGGCAATCAATACTCTTTCTTTTAGTACCTTTTACATACAGGACTACCCTGCCATTTGAATTGCCTGCAGTTATTTCTGGTGACCAACAGGTCATTTATTCAGCACTGTGCAGTTAACAGGAAAAACAGGACATCTACTAGGGGATACAGTGGATACAGCTGAATTGAAATAGATATATCGTCTCTATTAGACTTCATACAGATACAGCAGAAAGGTATACAGGGTTATAACCAGGGGCGACGTTAAGACTATTCCTGTGCTTCGTGTTGATTTCCACCAGATCATGGGAAAAGAAGACACTTCATCATGTCCACATTCATTATGCAGCAATAGAACATTGATTTAACCCATACACCACCCACACATGAGACATACAACACCTTGAGTACTAAGGGTGCATCTAGAGCAATTTAAAATCTAGCCTGAGAATGTAAATCAGTGCAAATGTCAGCCTACGGTGCAGCATACATTAACATGTCATTCCTGCACCCTATGAAAAAAGATGCTACTGTGTTCTCATGACATACAAGGATTCCAGGAAAGGGTTAAGGCTGCTTGATTCTCACTCCCTAGCGTTCTGTGCACACAGAGTGACGTCATGTGTGTCACATGACGCGCCCTATTAAGCACTCGGAGCTGTTCTGGTGCTGAAACAAGTATCTCCATCCTAGGAGGGAGATATGATCAGCTTGCAACCCTCTGTCTGAAGCACACAGGTAGGGTGGTGTTGGTTTATTTTAATGTTTGTATCCATGTGATAGATTTGTTTTTGGCAAAAAGACCGTGTGATATGAAACTTTACATAACTGATCTCTAAAAGATGAAGTCTCACTGTGTTATCTATGTATCCATCTCTGTCCATCCATCCATCTAACTATTTATTTGTAAATAGGAAAAGGTCTCTCTCCCTAGATTTATCTTTGTGGCATGCAATAATTAGTTTGTCTATGCTAAGAACATGATTCTTTATTTTGCAATATGTATATGTGTGTTTAAATAGAGAAAAAATAAAAAAAGAAGACAGAGATTTATTATTCGATGTGTTCATTTGTGAGTAGACATGTATAGCCATCTCTCTCTCTCTTTCTGTTTCTCATGTTGTACTATCTGTTGCTCTGTCATCCCCAATATCATGCATTTTTTCTTTATTTTTTTATTTTTCTTAACTTAGTTATGATATGATAGGCGTGGGAGGTGTTCCAAGGGTTGCCTGTTGCTATGCTGTACATGCTACTGAGTAGAAGATTAGACAATGGCAATCTGCTTGTGTGATAGACTAGACATCTCTGCACAACTGCGTTATTCATCAGACTCCGTACAAACACTAAATTTAAACTGTCAAATACGGAACAAGATTAAGCACAGGCCCTAATTAAAATACTCTAGAGGCATTGAGCAGCAGAGATGTAATTGCCATTCATTAATACAGAATATAGATAAACACATCGCATTCCAATTATATTTCCTTATGGCAGCATATAAATTGTACCTATTTATAACCTACTGCATATTTGAAAATCTGCATATGTGTTCAATATAAAGACATGTACTACAGACTACAGAGCTATACAAATCTTCCTTTAACTTAATTAGAGAATGCAATGTCCATTTAACTGTTTCCATAGCAGTGGCCATTATCCCAGATTGCTGGTATTTTCATGTCAGAGGTGAATCCAGCAAAATGTCATTGTTCATGATATGACTAGCAACAGGCTTTCAATGTTCCACTCAGGGTATGGTCTTATTTATATGTGGAATTGCTAACATTTACAGAAATCTCATTGTTATCTAAAATACACAAGCATCTGAAAGCACACGCATGTGCTTTTATCAATACTTGTTTTTGTAATTTACCATCCCTTCATAGATATCAGGTTAATATAACATAGTAATATCATAGCATTACATATGGTTTATTTAGTCTACTGAGTTTATTTGATCATGCTAAAGGAGGAAATCTCCTAATTAGAAATTAAAAACCTGAAAAAATGTTTATTAGCTAATGAAGAGCAAAGAATAGTGATGGTGTGCAAGGTGGAGCAGCCCATGGTTGTTTATCAGATTCCAGTGTACTGAAATTAGATTAGTAAAAGATGAATTCTGGTTGGTTGCTATGCGTTTCTGCATATTGGCTATTACTCTTGATCTTATTGAATACGACCACCAAACATTTTGCCACCATTCTTTCTTTGATGATCATTTTCATGATTTGCATGGTTCTTATAATATACAGCTGGAGTCTGGTTGTACAAGGAATACAATCTCTTCTCTGTTTTAGTTACTTGTGATTCAGCACAAGAGAAAAGGTTGCTAATTACAAGAAGGTTGACCAACTGTTACACAGCTTTTGCGGAACCACAGGTCTCAGCAAAATCTGATGGTTTGATGCTCAGATTGAAGTTCCTAAACATCTACATAACCACATGGATCTTAAACTTAATCTAGGGATTAAACTGATAAAAGCTCATTTCTTGGGTAAACAGACATCGCTAAATGCTAAACACAGGCATCTGGTCTGTTTTGCTGTAACTGGATTTCAGGCTAATCTGATATTCCAGGTTACAGCAGTGGTAGATGGAGTACTTTTCAAATAACACACATGACTCCATAAGATGCATCATTGCTATCATCTGCCTTACAATTGGGTGCTGATGCAAAACGATCTTCTGGCCCGTGGGCGGTTCTGGCTCCTGTTATTAAACAAAGAAGAAAAGCCTTTGTGGGAGAGAGCCAATACTGCAATCATCTCTGCATTACATTTTTAAAGTAGTTCCTCTTTAAGCCTTCACACATAAACCTAAATCCAAAGGCAAAAGTTATTTAGAGCACGCAGCAGTCTATAAATACAAACACATTAACTGTGTAGCTATAAGTAGACTGAGCTTTCACAGGCAGAGATCAGTGCATGACAGAGATTTATTATGGATGGTTAGACGTTATGAAGCAGTATCTGATACAGCATTTTGGATCAACAAATAAATTAAAGAGATCCATCAGTCCATTTGTCAATACTAACTTGTGACTTTAATGGTATGAAAGTGCAGCTTATGATATTTTGCAGTTAGAATTATGTGTTTTATTTTTCTGCAATATAAGCAGTATATTTTATTCCTTGCTGCATACTCATCTGGATTTATTTTGTAGGAAACACTGACCACTATGTCATCTCAGAGGAATTACTGTCTTGCAGGATGCTTATCCTCATGTATTTTGATCATCACAATGTCCTTTTCTGATGCTGCATCCTTTCAGTATTACCAAGTGCCACAACAGGACCAGGAATATAGAATGAAGACTTTGCAAAGGTTGCCAAGCCCTGATATGCTGAAGGCACTGGAGTACATTGAGAACCTCAGGAAGCAAGCAAGCAAAACTGAAAACCTCCCTGACTATACTTCCTACCAAGGCACACCCTTCCTCTCAGAGCAGAAAGACACGCAAGCCCTTTCAACAGACACTGCCAAATCTCCCACCAGTGATGATGAGTCTGAGTGGATGAGAGCAATGTTGGAAACTTTGATGCAAGCTGAAAAAGAGGCAAAAGTTTCCCCACAAGAGAAAAATAATCCATACATGGACAAGAACATACCACCTGAGTTAATTGAAGACTATGACTTAAATAAATGGTCTGAGAAGAGACCTAAAACTGGAAAATTTTCTTCAAGGTTATATGATGACTACTCTCGGGACAATCCACTGAAGCGCACCAATGAAATTGTAGAAGGCCAGTATACTCCCCAAAGCCTAGCTACCTTACAGTCTGTCTTCCAGGAACTGGGGAAACTAAAAGGCCAAGCAAACAACAAAAGAGACAGAATGGAGGAAGACCAAAAACTTTACAAGGATGATGAGGATGACTTGTATAAAGCCAACAACATTGCTTATGAGGATGTAGCTGGTGGGGAAGATTGGAATCCTATTGAAGAAAAAGTTGAAAGTCAAACTCAAGAAGAGTTAAAGGAGAGTAAAGAGGAGGTTGAGAAGACAGATGACATGGATGAGGAAATGAAGCGATCTGGGTTGTTGGGGTTACAGGATGAAGAGCCTGAAAAAGAAAATAAGGAGCAAGAAAGTGAAAATCTATCAAATCTGATGAACACATATCTTAAAATGTGGATGAACAGGATGGAGAAAGGAAAGCAGAACTCTGATAAGCGCTCATTAAAATTCTCTGGAAGAGAACTTGACCCTGAAGCTATTTATCAGTTGATTGATATTTCCAGAAACCTTCAAATCCCCCCTGAAGACCTTATTGATATGCTGCGGGATGAAGATGGCAGGAGGTTTGGTGGAAGATTAGAACCTGAAAAAGAAGTTGCTGTTCCTGATGACCTAGATGAGGTTACAGAGACTATGACTGATAAAACAAATGTATATAAACACAAGCAAGGCTTTGTAAGGCAACCTACGTCCCCTATTCTGCCTAATGTCCCTGAAGGTCTTACAGTCGAAGACATGGTGAATCTTATGGGAGCTGATAAGTTACAGAATAGTTTCAAACAAAATAATGGTTTGCAAAGACCCTTCCCTATTCTTAGTAAATCCAAGGGACACAAATATATTTGGCCCAAAGATTCTGAAAAAAGGCAAATGGAGTATGAACCAAGATCTGACAAGGAGGAGGAACTGGCAGATTATATGGTAAAGATGCTAGCCAAATACCCAGAGCTTTTAGGTAACAACCAAAACAAAAAGTTGCCTATTTCCTATTCTCCAAGTGATCTTCAAGAGCTAGAAAAGCAATATGAAAATGCTTTGAGAGGATATGTGAATATGCGTGGTTATCAGGATTTAGAGACAGTTTCCAGCAGTAACCGAAGACTGCCACTGACCAGGGAAAATGATGATACACAGAACAAGCAGTATATAGATGAGGACTTGCTTATGAAGGTCTTGGAATATGTGAATCAAGAGAAAGCAGAAAAAGCAAGAGATCACAGTGTTAAAAGATCTATGGAAAATATGTAAATGTTTGCATTTTCCAACTCCATCATATATATTATTTGCTCTGTTTTTCTTCTTCTTGCATTGTTTTAGTGAATGAAGCTATGGCTCTTCTTCCACTAATGGTAATGATCATCTGATGACCAGTTGTTAAGATGCACACAAGTTAATCATCTATGTTCATCAAAGTAGTAAAATTATATTTGTTATCCACCAAACACTTTTATACATTTGAGGGCTCTTACCCAAGCTTGGGGAGCCATTGAAAAACCAGATTTTTCCAAAATTTAAAAGTGCCCAATTACATTATTTAGAAATCTATTTCTCAAAGACTCTACAGGTTTTTTTTTTGTTACTTTTGAAAGTTGGAGATCTATTTATGAGGCTGGTACTATAAAAGTTTATTTTAATGTTAATTTGCAGATCTTTGGTAGAAAAGAGAAATGTGTATCTGAGCATGAAATAATGAACTGCAAGTATTGTTCTTAAACAATTGTTATGAACCAGGAGAATGTGAAATATAATATGTTTTTCATGTGGAGTATGAAGTCAGCCCGCTAAATTGGAATCATTTATTTTTTCTAAACTATATTTTCAGTATCTCTCTTTAACGGCTCTAAAAGGCATTTTTCCATGAGACAGAAGTGCTAATGAGAAAAATCATTACTGGTTTCACTTCAAGTCATGTGTCCACTGTTCTATCCATCACAGGTAATTTACTAATATATATGCATAAGGCAAATAACAATGTGCATAGTATAGTAATCATATACATACAGTCACGTTTTCTTGTTCTGACTACATTATCTTTCTAGAAAGTAGACCTTCGATTGGTTGCTATGGTAAAGTACACTGATTCAACAAAGACTGCCTTGGCTCCCCAACCTTTACACAAAGAGAAGCATTACCATGGTGTGTTGATCAGCCATTATGAGGACCTCATGCTCACACATTTGCTATTTTGTATCAAGGATCAAACAATGTAGCAAATATTATTATTAATCAAAATGTGTTGAGGGACACATTTTGCATCACAGCTGCTAGAAATTTAGTTAAACCATTACTATGGATTATTTGATCATGTAGATGAGCAACACTCTTTGCACTGCCTTATTAAATAAACAATCTCTAGCCCCTACATCATCAGCTTTCCATGTTCCTTAAATTACAAGCTGTGTCACTACTAGAATACTATAGCGCTCATACTATATAAAATTATAGCTGGAATGTCAGATGGCAAATTATATTTGCTTCATGACTAGATTTAAAAAAATATATTTTTAGAAGAAGTTTTATTGGACACAAAGGCTGAGAGATACACTTGTCCCTGACAGACCTAGTCTGAGAGTCTTGGGATAGCAGATAAGGATTCACCTCTCCTGTGCCAACCACAACATTGTAACAATGCTAATACTAATTATGCCACATCAGCTAGATCAACAACATAACAAAATAATCAATTACATAAAAGAAACACAAATAACCAAAATGTTGCAAAAACTACCTATATAAAGATCTGCACAAAAACTAGGTAAGACAGAGGCTATAATTTGTTAATTAAATATGATAGTTTGTAAGGTCTATTAAGTAGGGATGTTCAGATACCATGTACTGTACATAGTACAAGTACTAATAATGTTCCAGCTCTAGACTAGACCAAGTACAAACCAGACCAAGTAAGACCAGTACTGATATTTGTCCAAGTGCTTACAGATACCAAGTACTGATACATTTTTGTTTAGTGTCATGTGACAATTTTTCTAAAACAATACAGACTAATGATTTCAGGTACAGTGGTGGGGCTTCAACCTCTGCAGCCCTGGTAGTCTGCCAAGTATCAGCACTGGTATCTGAACTGGTATCTGAACAGCCCTACTATTAAGTATAAAGTGATGAAATGCCAAGTTACTTCTGTAATTTATGACACAATATCATATTATATAACATCAGAAATGTGCTATGTGGTAGGCATGTAACCTATGGATTGTATTGAACTGTTACAGACTACACAAACAGAGCATCTCCAACTATGCTCAACATATCAGTCTCTTTTCTCTGAACATTCCGGCTTCGACTTCCTTTTAGATCAGCCCTGTATACGTGTTTGTTGAATGTTGTCAACCTTAGCTGCCGAGCCACTATTACATATCTGCTCTAAGACATTCTAGGGATACAGTGCATGGTATTCTAATGACTACACAGCTTTTTTAGGTTCACTTCAGAATCTCCCGACACTAACCAACTTTCTGGTTTCTCACATTATTTTTTTTAATAATCATTTATCTATTTTGTTACTGTTTGTTGTGTCGTGTGGTACTGTAAAACCAAACAAAAATAAAGCATTCTGTATATTTGAAGCATTTATCATCTTGGCAGATATCACATTGATAATCAGGTAACAGTCAATGTCAAGATGGGGAGCACTTTGTATTGTTTGGCAAACACCTCTACTTGCAATCTGCACATACTTAACATGTTTTGCATTTGATATGCCTGAATGTTTTATTTGGGTGTGTCTGATGATAAACAAAGTGTACTTGCACATCAGCATTCGCATACACAATACAGAACTATTATATTTCAACAGAACAGCAAGTAGAAAACCTTTCTCCATCAAGCCCTTACCTGACTTTTACAGGTGACACCTGTGTCTCACCTATTTTACCAACAGCATCTTAGTATTAAAGGGGGGGGGGGGGCAGCTTATTCTAATGATGTTCCTTCTGTTAATCAAGATAAGGGAAAACAAAACCCAATGGAGACAGCTGTCAATTTATCTCTGCAGCAGAAAAAAAGTCTGTTTTGGCCCTATCAAACTCTCAGTTATCCCAAAGGTATCAGTAGTGGTAATAGGGGGTGAAGCTTGGAACAATATCTCTGAATATGGCAATTCGTTATATAGCCATGTATATCCTCCCTATAAGTATTTAGATAGAATACTAAGTTCTTCATTAGTGCAATGAACAGGATCAGTCATCTCCCCAGTTTTACAGTACAATAACTTAAAGTGTATATTGCTGTAGATCATTGCACTTACCTTGTTTGCTGTGTGCTCACCCTCCCAGGGTTGTGGGTGCTCTGCACTCCTTCTGCCAAAATGCCTTCATCTCAGGTTCCTTTTTTTGGGTGGCTTCATTGCCTTACAGGGTTCCATGGAGCCACCCTTGCGTGTGCGCTCTCAACGTGTGCACATTAACACAGCTTTCCTGAAACCCTAACGCAGCAAGCAGCAAGCAGCAAGCAGCAAGCAACGTGACACTCCCCTGCTCCCTCTCCTCTTGTCTCAGTGCACAAGCATCACTCCTCTGCTCCCTCTCCTCCTGTGTCTCCAGGGTGCATGCTTCCTCACCCGGAAGTTAAGGGAAGCAACGTTGAGCAATCTGGAATCAGGAGCAGTGAAGCAATAAATAAAGTAAGTAAAATATGTGTTGGGCACACACTTTTATGAAACGATGGACTGCAGAACATTCCATTGATTGATTAATTGATTGGTGAATAAATTCAAAAAAAGTTGGAGGGTTTAGTTTTATTTTAACTAGTCACAGTGGTGCCAAGAGGACACTGACAGGTTCAAAGGAACTGCTCTATGGTAAGATTACATTTTGATTCTCAAGTTTCAGCAAACATTTCTTACAGCATTTAACCTGGTGTAGAAGGTCTTTAAAGCGTATGTCCAGCCCAAACTGTTTTATACATTTTTTAATGTTATTTTGGGCTAGAGTGGGTAAAGCTTAGAGCGCCTGTTGGTTTTAACTACTATCAGGTGCTCCATTAGAGAGATTTACCCTTGCTTACTTTCACAGTGACAGAGGTTTCACCAGACGGTAAGTAAGGTAAAACCTCCAACAGCAACATGGAGAGAGAAAAAAAATGCTTTTGTTAATAGAGTCGGGGATAAAAGCCCTGTCACTTTTTTATTGCTGTCTGTATCTCTGTTGCAGATTTTCCCTCACTTTCTGTTTGATAAGACCACTCTCACAGGAAATCTAATGGAACCCCAGATGGCATTAAAAACCTGAAAGATGTTTAAACTTTTAGCACTCTATCCAAAAAGAAAAATAATTTTGCCTGGACAGACATTGAATGGGAAACCTTTGTGTATTTTTCAATAAACACTTATTTTATTTCTTTTTGTAATTTTAAAGTAATATTTTATGTCACTTTCACATTTCACATGGGTATAATACATATACAGATTTGTAGACTATCTCTCCAGTGGCCATGTCTACTATAGTATATTCAGCCTCCTTGATAAAATCTCAGCCACACAGTGTTCAAGACCGGTACTCTTTCACTAAAGTGCTACTAAACTCACCTCCCCTTCGCTCCCTCAACGGCGTCAACATCTTACCTAGACTCCTTCTGGGTTCAAGATCTTCAACCATCTTGATCGGCCAGGATAGAATGATGTAACTCCCATGCCTGTGCAGCTAAGTGTACATTTTCCAAAAGATTGTGAAAATGTAAGATTGTAAGATTGTTTAATAGAATTAAATACATTGCATGTTTTAGTTCAGCTAAAGGGAGAGGAGAGAACAGTGGTTAGGACCACTCTGCAGCACCACAAAACTGGAGGCAGACCTTGCATATTGAATAACTGGATGTTTCAAACATTGACAAATATTGATAGTAATATATGCATTAAGCTGACTACTTTACTTAAAATACATAAAGTACATACATAAAGTGTTTCCCCTTAATTCTCTTGGTTGTAACACTGCCTTTATAAATACTTAAAGTGGACCTTTACACCCTTTGACTAAAAATCACATCAGCCTGCAACTCTGATATACATATCACCATACCTCCAATTAGCTAAGCACACATATTTTTATTTTACTGACAATTTCTTTGTTTTTAACTTCCTAGTCCACTTTGGCACAAATGATATACTTGTGTCCCAGCATTGCTTCCTTGGAAGGTTACATCAGCAGTGTATTGCTTTGAAATCTCATCTGTAATCTCATGAGATCTCATGGAAAGCATTTTCCTCCCCCGAGATGATGTGCACAGTCACATCACCTAGTCACATATCTAGTCATATGTGCCAGAGTTCCATGAAGTAAAAGGAGATGGATTCATCTGCTCTTAGTTAAAATGGCCACTGTGAGAAGAATGAGGAGGGGAAAAAAAAGGTATGCAAAAAATTAAAATTCTGCAATTATCTACAAGTATCTGTTTGTAGATTGTCATTACTAAACATTTCTAAAGGTGCCTTTGTTGTTTTTTCAAAGATATAGGTAAAGTTCCTCTTTAAGATCACAACTGTCCTATGAATAAATTGCCAACCATGTTTATTTATGTTTGTGCTGCTCTCAAATTTCACCATAACTCAAATAACACCAGGCTATCCCAACATACTGGGACACTCCACATCAGGGTAGATTACCTGGTTGCTAGGACCTGTTCTTGACACTGACAGCTACCCGGCTTTTTTTCCTGGACACTGGTTACCCAATCCAGGTCTTCTAATGCACTTGGAGCCACAAATATTACATTAGAAAAGCTCAAATAAAGCTCTGCCATTCCCCAGAAAATCGCTACTACTAGAGCTGGCATAGCAAACGCAGCTACCAGTTTCCGAGTGTCTAGACCACCAGGATTTGGCTACCAGAAGAATCTTGGGCCAGACAGGTAACCAATCCCAGGCACATGGCAAACATGGAGACTCAGAAGCACCAAACCAGTCAACTGGCAAAAGCTCAACATTAACACCGGAGCCAGGTGTTCAATTGGTGGAGAGTTAGCGGATGTTGGATTTGCATAGTTATCAATAGAATATGATTCAAATAAACTTATTAAGGATGTTCAAGCTAAGACTATTTCATAGGGTAATATAGTTTGCCTAACTAAATACTGCTGGGAATAGGAGAACTAGTTTGATATACCAATTGATTTGGTAGTTTGCAGCAATTAATGAGCAATGCACATCTTACCACATTTTTTAGAGAATGCATTTTCAGGTTTGGTTTTAACAGAGTTTGAACCTTGATAAGAGTAAAATTAATTTGGGTACAGTGGAGGGAATACGTTGAGACACTAGAAAAGAATTTCAGCTCAAAAGTAGGAAATGATAGGCAGCACCACCATTTTTCATAATATGCTTCTTGCGCTACATGTTCAGAAGCAATAAAAGTGGAGCTCTATACTATTGGTGTGGAAACCTATTACCATTCTAATCTAGAACTACATGGTAGATGAATCTGTAAAAATGAAATCAAGGCAACTGGACTTGCTGTATTTTTCTTGAAGACCTTTCACTG